GGGGCGGGGTCCTCCGGCCAGGGTCCCTTTCCCGGCTACCCTCCCTTCTGTGGAAAGTGGGGGAGGGGACCTAGAACATGCCTCGCCCGTCCCACTCCACCAGGTACTGGACGCTGCCGTCCGTGGCGATGCGTCGGGCCAGGATGCGGACGGCCTCCCCCCGCGCCAGCCGGCCCATCGCCCCAAAGTAGCTGCTGCTGGCCGGGGCGCAGAGGGCGGGGGGCACAGCGGGGGCGGGGGGCGGGGCTTGGCGCTTGAGGGGAGGCGTCGGGCAGGGCAGGAAGGCGGGGGCAGGGCGCTCCGGACTCTGCTGCTCTGCGGCGGTGGGGGCGGCTGCCACGCAAGGTTCAAGGGGGGCCTCACCGTTTCTGCTGCAAGGGAAGGCGGGGGCCGCGGTTAGTCCCAGGCCACAAACCCCGGCCCCTCCCACCACCCAGGGCCAGGGGGGCCCCCTCCCCCACCCCGAGACCCCTCGGCGGAGGCGTCCCAGCCAGGGCGAGAAGGGGAGCACCTCAACCGTCGGGGTGCGTCCCATCCAGGACTCGGGCAGCCCGGCTGGCTGGCGGGAAGCAGAGCAAGGGGCGGTGGGCACCCCATATGCTTTGGGGACCCCAGGTGGGGGTGCAGGTCCTGTGACCACTCGGGGAAGAAGCCGGTGGGGGAGACGGCCAGCGTGCCGGGGCTACCTGGTGCCAAGGAAGGGCTGCTTGGACCCCTGGGGGAAGACCACCGCTCCTTCTGCATGGAAGGGGCGCCCCTGCTTTGAGGGCAAGGGTGGCCCCAGGGCAGGGCCAGAGGCTTCCAAGGGCCCCGGGGGGGGGTTGCTCTGAAAGACACACACACACACACACCGCCGGCCCGACAGCCGACGGAGAAGCTCAGCCCTGCCTGGAGACCACAGGAGGCCAGCCCAGCGGATGCCCCTCGAGGCCAGAGGGTCCCCTTGGGATCCTCCATCCTGGCCGTGGGAACCCCCCGTGCCCCTCTGGGGCCCCCGGCTCACCTCAAGGCCCCTGCGGTGTTGGCCGAGGGGTGGAAGGAGGCGAACATCCGGATCGGAGCGCTGTTGGGGGAGAGAGAGAGAGAGAGAGAGCGGATCATCAAGAGAAGAGACGGCCTGGGGAAGCAGCCCTGCCCCCTGCGCCCCCTGACCGCAGCCTCACCTGTCCTGACAGCGGGCATCGGTGCGGCGGAAGTTGTAGGCGCTGCACGTGCCGCCGTAGCCGCCGTAGCTCTGGTTAGGACTGACCGGGCTCTGCACCAGCTCCTGCGTGGAAGGGAGAGCGTTGAAGGGCAGCTGGGGGGGCAGCACGGACCCTTCCTCCCTGGTGCCCCCCCCATGTCCCTCCGCTCCCCTCCCCCCGCTTACCTGAGTGAGGGCCCTCGTCAGCCGCTCCCTCTCCCTGGCGCTGTGCTGCTCCGTGGTGCTCAAGGCTGCCCCGGGGGCCTTCGGGCGATGGCGCCTCTCCCTCCTGGGCTGCGGCCCCAACCCACGCCTGCCCTGCCCTGAAAGCAAGCTGTAAGGGGCCCTCCTTATCTGTGCAGCACGGAGGGGGGGGCGGGGGGGGACACACAGCTTCCTCCTCTGCCCAGGCCCACAGCTGGGAATGCTCCTTCTCACCTGCTCTCGGAGAAGGGGGGAGGCCCCCCGGGGCCCTCGGGGACGTGGGGGGCAGGGGGCGGGACTCGCAGGTGCAGCCCGAAGAGCCCCTTCCGCTTCTTGATTTCCTTCCCGGAGATGAACCTGTGGAGGGGGGCAGAGAGTGGGGGGTCCTGTCACAGCGGCTCCCTCCTGCAGCCCCAAGCGCTGTGGGTGAGCCCCTCCCCCCATTCCGGCGGCGACACAAGACCAGCGGCACACTGACGGGACGCACAGGGGCAGCGACAGGCGCTATAAAGTAGATCCAGGTGCTAAAGGGGGAGGGGTACTTTGCACCTGAGGGCTTGGAAAACCACTGGCTGCCCTCGGCCCTCCCCCCCCGCCTTTCTGGACCACCTTTTCCAAAGGAGCCTCATTTTCCGTGTCAGCCCCCACTGGGTTCCCACGAGATCCTGAAGCCTTAGACCCCCCTAAACCCAGGAAGCGACCCCTTCTCTGGACCAAACAGGGCCGGGGGCAGAAACAGACTCAATCGCCCAAAGCGGTTCGATGAGCTGCTCATTTGGGGACTCAAGTCACAGAACAGAATTTCAATGAACCCAGGCTGGCTGAACCCCTCCCCCATTGTGCCTCAGGCCAAACCCCCGAAAGGAGGCTGGGCAGAGGCGGGACCTTCGCCTGGCCCAGGAGAGTTGGCCCTGTTGGGGAGGGAGGGGTCAAGCAAGGAACCAGCCTGGAGTCGCCGCAGAGACAAGCTCCGATTCCCCCCCCCTCCCGCTGGAGCCTCCTGTGGCCTTTCCTGGGCGCTTTTACTAGCCTGGGAAGATTCCTGTCAACAGGCAGAGAGCAACCAAGCGCAACAACTCCTTTCTGCACAGGTCGGTCTGCTTTTTTTGCGCCTGGCAACCCGCAACGAGGCCTACCTGTCCTTGTGGCTAGTCAGGGCGCTCAGCAGCTGGTTGTAGCGTTCCCCTTTGGGCGTCTCGGAGAGCTGCAGGGAGCCGAGGAAGACAAGGACGATGAACAGCGGCCCTGCACAGCCGCCACGGGGAACCCAACCTCCCCCCCACACCCCACAAAGGGGACCCGTTGCCAGGCCAAAGAAATGGGGCCGGTTTAGCCAAGGGGCCCAGAAGATGGTGGCCTCCCTCCCAGAGTAGACACTCGGTGGAACCGACCAGAAGGACACAGCCGGTCAGCCAGGGGGGAGAACCACACCCGTAAGGCTGCGGCTGAGGTCCCTTGGGTAGATACGCGCCATAGATAAAACCCCGTTGGGGTCAAAAGTCACCGGGAACGGGGGGGCTTGAAGCAGCCGTGCTTAGGCCACGAATGTCCCCTTCCTGGCCTGCCGTCGGCTGCCTCCGCACTGCCCCTCCCCGTTTCCTCCTCGGGATTCAGGGCCAAAGGGCCTCATTTGGCGGAGCTAGCAGACCCCCACCTGCCCTTCACGTAAGGCCCGCAGGAAGGGGCCACCCCAGATTCTTCAACAGAGGCAGGAGCCTGGGCTGACCCGCTCTGTGTCCGCCCCCACCACAACGCAAAGCAGGCACGAAGCCGCGGGGCCCCCCCCCCGTCCCCCCCCCCCCACCCCCCAGCCACGCCCTCCTCTGACCTCCCCCAGCAGGAGGCTGTCCCAGTTCTCGCTGGCGAAAGGCAAGATCTCGCGCTCAAAGTCGAAGTATTTCTTCTTGCAGCAGATGCTCAGGTGATACAGGATCAGGTGGGCCACGTCCACCCTGCAGAGGCGCCAACACCTGGGTAAGAGGCGCTCCCAGCCCAAGGCCGCCCCGGCACACACACACCCCCGGCAAAGAGCTGAGGGGCTTGGGATGACCTTTGCCCTCAGCCCGCCCCAGACTTAAAACTCAGCTGGTCAAGGCCTGGCCTCCCTCCCGAGGCCAGAGTGTGTCTCACAGAGAGACCGGCTCAGCCGGGGCTTCGAGGGCCTCCGTCGAAAAGGGCACCCCCCGCAAACTGGCCGCCTCTGTCCGGCCCCAAAGCCAGTACAAACAGCACCCCCCACCACCACTGTGAAATTGACAGAAGCGCCCCCCGCTGGCTGGGGAGGGGAACAGCTGTCGTCAGAGCCTGTGGCCCTGGACTCCCCAAAATCTGGGCCCGCAAAGGAGGTAAGTGACGGCAGCGTCTGGGGAGCATCTACACAAAGACACCCCCAAAAGCCCCCTGGAACAAGGCCAAAAACACCCCGCGCCCAAGGGCCCTCCCGGACGCAAGCAGAGCAACCGCCAGGGCTGGAGTTACAGACCCCGCCTCTCCTCCTAGGGGCCCTCCCTCGCCCACCCCTCGGCCGAGGAGCGCGTCCCCACCAGCCGCCCCTCCCAGACTCACCAACGCAGAGCCAGGCGCCGGACGCTCTCAGGACCCTGAGTGCAGGCGCAGCATTCAAAGACGTAGAACCTGCCCGGGTTCAAGAGGTCAGCAGTGCCGGCTCTGCCGCGCCTCCCCCCCACAACTGCTCCAACCCCCCCACCCCACCCCCGGTCTCCTGGGTGGGGTGTGGCTCACCTGTCCCCGTAGAGGAGGGGCTTGCTCAGGCACTGGGTGCAGGCCTCGTGGAACCACTGGCCACAGTGGCAGCACTGCAGCATTTTGAGGTTCCACCTGGGCCGCGGGAGGGAAAGGAGGAGGGGAGTCAGAGCCCGGCACGGGGACCTCAGCCACGCGGCCCCCCCCTCCCGGCTCCGGGACCAGGCACCCTCCCCCTTCCCCGCTGGGCCTTCAACCAGGCCTTCTCCTCCCTCTTCCAGGTAGGGCAGCCGTCCTGTCGTCCCCCCCGTCGCCCCGCCCCCCCCAGGCCGGGCACGCACTCACTCGCCGGGGCCCCCGCAGTAGCAGTAGCACTGCTGCCGGTTGCTCAGGTGCTCGGCATCCCAGTCGAGGGACTTCAACTGGTAGGGCAGCACCAGTTTCATACCCAGCATGGCCTTGGCGTAGGGCCCCTTCTTCAGGGCGCCCCCGCGCTGCAGGGGGGAGAGAGAAGAAAGCGGGAGGCGCCTGGGGGAGGCCGGGCTCAGGACGGGGGGGGGATCGCAGGGAGGGAGGGGGGACCCAGAGGGAGCCTGCTTCCCCCTCCCCTGAGCATGGGGGGAGGGCACCGTCTCTGCCCTCTACCCTGAGGCCGGCCGGTG